AAAAAAAAAAAAAAAAAAAAAAAAAAAAAAAAAAAAAAAAAAAAAAAGTAGGAAGGTGGTTGTCAAGGGCTGGGGGAAGGAGAGAGGGGAAATTAATGTCTGATGGGTATAGAGCTTCAGTTTTGCAAGATGAAAAAGTTCTAGAGATCTGTTGCACAGCATCATGAATGTATTTAACACTGAATTGTACACTCAAAATGGTTAAATTGATAAATTTAATGCTGTGTGTGTGTGTGTGTGTGTGTTTTATCACAATTAAAGGTTTATTTTCTGGTTAAATTACGCAGCAAGGAATTCTGTTGCTTACAACTATGAAGGCTGTCTGAAAAAGAAGATAGTGTAATCCTGCTGACAGAGTTCATTCTAGACTCGCACCTGCTCGGGGGTCTAAAGACCCCTGCTTTGGTCGGGGGTAGCTCAGGAACAGGAGGTCGGAGTGACCCACTTTCAAGGCATGGAATGTGGGTGATATTTTCCAGAGAGAGGACAAAGTGAGGAGAGGAGAGGAAGGGAAGGGAGGGTAGAGGGGAGGGCAGAGTAGGGGACGGGAGGGAGGGGAGGCGCGAACAGATGCGTTAGTTGTGCTAGTTTTGTGCCCTCAGTGGCTTATCTCATTCCATCCTCACAACAAATNAGATAGATAGATAGATAGATAGATAGATAGATAGATAGATAGATAGATAGACAGACAGAAAAATAAATAAAAATCCTGTTTTATTCTACAATAAGGATAAACCCTGAGGACATTACGCCATGTGAAATAAGCCTGTTACAAAAGGACAAATACTCTGGGATTCCACTTATATGATGTACCTAATGTAGTAAAATCATAGAAGCAGAAAGTAGGAAGGTGGTAGTCAAGGGCTGGGGGAAGGAGAGAGGGGAAATTAATGTCTAATGGGTATAGAGCTTCAGATTTGCAAGATGAAAAGGCTCTAGAGATCTGTTGCACAGCATCATGAATGTACTTAATACTGAATCGTACACTCAGAAATGGTTAAAGTGATAATTTTAATGCTATGTGTTTTTTTAAATCACAATTAAAGGTTTATTTTCTGGTTCAATTATGCAGAGAGGAATTCTGTTGCTTACAAGTATGAAGGCTGTCTGTCTGAAAAAGAAGATAGTGTAATCCTGCTGACAGAGTTCATTCTAGACTCGCACCTGCTCGGGGGTCTAAAGTCCCCTGCTGTGGTCAGGGGTAGCTCAGAAACAGGAGGTCGGAGTGACCCACTTTCAAGGCATGGAATGTGGGTGATATTTTCCGGAGAGACGACAAAGTGAGGAGAGGAGAGGAAGGGAAGGGAGGGATAGAGGGGAGGGCACAGTAGGGGACGGGAGGGAGGCGAGGCGCGAACAGACGCGTTAGTTGTGCTAGTTTTGTGCCTTCAGTGGCTTATCTCATTCCATCCTCACAACAAATCCTTAGGAACTTGGTATTACTGCAGCCCCACTTTACAGGTGAGGAAAGTGAAAAGTTACTTGCCTGTGATCGCACATGCAAGAGTTGGTGCAGCTGGGACTCAAATACAAACCTGCCTGACACCAACACATGGGTTCTTGCCATAATTTTACTGTTCATATTTAGAGTCGAAGCAGGAAAGACTTTACAAATTTCCTACACCAACCAAAGATGAAGATAAATACTCACAGTACTTTTGTAGAGGTTTGCAGGGACAATATCTCAGCCTTCCCTTACTCCCTTAGCTTTTCCAATTGATACCAAGATATTCTTTTTTTTTTTTTTCCCACAGAACTTTTCATAGTGGAATGAGGGTGGGCAGGAAGGCGGGAAGAATCTGCAGATGGTGTAAGCTTTGGGAGGAGGGTGCACTGGGAGACATCTCAGCTAGAAGGAGGAAGGAGACCAAAACAGAGCCCAGCTTGGAGGAGTCCTTGGAAGCGACCAGACTATTGCAGTCCACTCCTGCCTGCCTGCGTCTCCTCCCATGAAGGTAAAATGCGTCTTCCTCTCTTTGGCCTCCCTCTGCATCCCTTTTTCTCTCCCCCGCCCACCCGCGCCCCCAATTTGTCTCCACTTTCTCCACATTTCTGTGTCTTTATCCTTTGTCCTTCCACCTGGATGTCTCTTTTCTGCGTATCTTTTTCGGTCCACCTGGATGTCTCTTTTCTGCTTA